TCGCCAGCTTCAAGGTATTCCTGCTGTGGCCCCTGGGCAGAGATGGGCATTATAATCCCAGGCCCTGCAGTGGGAACCAAAGGTGAAACACATCTGATCTGAGACCTCCGAAGTCCAGTCACTGGTGGTGCACCCCGGGATGGTCCCTAACAGTTCATGGTCGTTTCCTGTCTATGCTAACAGGGCATTCAATCAGGGAGACCCTGGAGTGCCTGACAAACGGTAAACACCTAACAAATGGAGGCTGTGAAGATCACTGATAGGGATGCTTATTGAACTCTGTGAGAGCCAGGCACTGGACTGCAGGGGGCCCAGGAGCCCGCAGGGCAGCCCAGCCCCTCCCCTTCCCTCAGGGACAAGGTGCCAGGTGATTTGGTGTTGCTGCCCTGGACACACCCTCAGTGCCTCAGCTGTGAAATCAGCAGAGTTCTTCGAATTTGGCTTCCACCTCCACGTCACCCCCCTTCCCAGCCTTTCTTACACTGAGCTTCCCTTTACACATGGCTGTAAGTACAGCTTACACAGTGCACGTACGTGTACTCACGGACCGTGCACAGCATACCCACAAGATGCTTAAATGTCTGAGAAGTGTGTTGAACACCCAGGGGCCTCGGTGTGCTCTCCCAGCAGGTGACCCTAAATGGTGTCCTTTGGAGAAAACTCCTTGGTCAGAGGAAGGAGAAGGGGGGCAGAGAGCTTAGAAATACTGATCTCTGGGGAGGTCAGAATTCTCCAGACATGCACGCATTCTACTTGAATTCTGGTTGTGGCTGCTGATAGTTCACCACAAAGGAAGGAGACTACATGACTCACTCAGGCTTGGGTTCATGCGCGGTGCATGGGACCCGGGTACAAGGACTCTAACTGCTTCATGTGGTCCCCCTGGAGTGCATGGAACTTCCAGAAGATTCCAAATGTTGAGAACTGGGCATGGTGGCTAATGCTTGTCATCTCAGCAATTCGGGAGGCCACGGCAGGAGGATAACCATGAGTTCCATTCCAGGCTACCCAGAACCAAAGGGAGTTCAAAGTCAGCCCTCTGAGACCATGACCTTGGGTTCTTAATTCATAGATTCAACCACCCTCAGATAGAAAGAGATACTAGAAAAACAAACAAACAAACAAACAAATGACAAACACACAAACCCACACCTATGTGGAACACATTATGAAAAAGCTGAACTGCCCTCACCCCCAACTCCTCCAACCTCCGTACCCCAGAACTAGAGGGAAGCAGTAGGAGGGAAATGCCCCCTTCTAGGGCAGTCACGGTTTCTACTAGGAAGACAACCATGGGCACGGATGGGGAAGCCTGAGCCCACCCTCAAAGCAGTGTCAGAGGACAGAAATCACACTGAGAGAAGCGGGGACAGGAAGGGGAGCGTCACACAGTAGGGACACCCAGCAGAAAGCTGGCTGGGACAGCGAGGGCCACACCTGAGGTGGTCGCAGGCTCTGCTGCAGAATGCACCCAGCACCCAGAAGGAACATTCTAGTCGAAGCTTTGGCAAGTTCAGGATCGAGTCACCCAAGAGTGCCCCCATCTGTTACCAGCCAAGGGTACCACTGTGAGGAAGAGAGGAACTCCCAGGGCTGGTACTTGCCTGGCATTCCTTTGAATCACCTATTAATTTTCTGAGCAATCACTTGAGATGAAACAGACATCATGGGCTTTCTCCCACTGCCTCCAAGATGGGCAGATAATTAGTTCTTTCGGGAGAAACGTCATTTCCAGGTCTGGGGTATACTCAGGGGTAGAGGGCCTAGCTAGCAAATTCAAGGCCCTGGGTTCAACCCCTGGCATTGCAAAAACGGCACAAAACAAGGGAAGCAGCAGGTCACAGGTCACCGTACCCCACATCGGGTCTGGGCTTCCAGCCACAACCCTTTGAGTCAGTCCAGGCCATTGTCAGCGTGACACACAGGTCACAGTGCGGCTCTCTGTTCATTGCGGTTTGCTTTTAAAGGAGGAAGGTTGTCTCTCAGAAGCAGACATGAAGAGGTAGAGCCTCTGAAATTTTACCATTGAGGAGTTTGGGCTCAGCCTTCCTCATGGAGAAATTCCTTTTCTGTAGAGAGAGCCGGAGAACCACGTACTACCTTCTCTCCTAGGTGCCGAGAGAGCAAGGACAGAAGTCCCCCTGTGTCCGTTCAGCTCTGAAAAATGCTTCCCTGAGAGCCACTGTAAGATGGCAAGGGCCCCCGAGGGCCCTTTCTGAACTCTCCCCCTCTCTTTTTCAGGGGTTGCTTTTGTACTGTGACCTCATAGAGTCGACATTTGAGAAGTTCAAGCTGCCAAGCAGGAAGGTGGACGCTCTCGATCACTTCCAGAAGTGCTTCCTGATTTTGAAGCTGTACCACCAGAGGGTGGACGGTGGCGTCAAGAGCAGCCAGCAGGGAGGAAAGGGCTGGAAGGCCATCCGCGTAGACTTGGTCATGTGTCCCTACGATCGCCGGGCCTTCGCCTTGCTCGGATGGACAGGCTCCAGGGTGAGTGCTGTCTGCTGTGAGATGCCCTGGCCCAGGAGGGAGCTGAGGGCAGGCAGCAGGAGAGAATGCCAGGAGAGCGAGGGGACCGTGCCCCGAAGCCTCTAAGCCAGGGTGTGATACTGCCGTATGGTCACGAGTCAGGTTCATTTAGAACAGCCATCCCCAGAGTGCAGCTCACGAAGCCAGCAGCAGTGGCCTTACACAGGGACAGGTTAGACAGGGACGTAGGGACACTAGGGCTCTGTACCTTCTACCTGCTGTCTGCGTTTCTGAAGCAAAAGACCACATGCCTGCCCGCTGTCTCCCAGTGCTGCTGTAAGAAACTGGTGAGGTTTTTAAAGAGACTCTGAGAATCGAGAGGCTGAACCCTGCTCTTGAATCTCAGGTAAATACAGTCCTCGGGCCTTCTTTGGGGCGAATAGCAACACTAACCTCACAGGGCTCTGCTGAGGACTCAGTGAGACAGCGACTTCATCTTAAAACTGGGGTCGAACTGGGCACTGCTCCCCATCCTCTTTTAGAGGTAATGCTGGGCTCTTGTTAAGCATCCACAATCGTGTAGGGCAGTGGAGAATCCACAGAATAAAGCAGCAGGCACCGAGCTGGGCGCAGGCTCAGGGCTCCATAAACGCCAGGGTGTCACTGCCTGCACCATAAGAAGGTATTCCTAAGTCTCTTATTTGGCCCTCACCTGAAGCCACAGGATCCTGTTAGGACGTATGGCACTCCTTAGTTGTCCCTTTTCACTCAGGGTAGCATCCAAGGTCACTGGTAGACCAGGAGGACCTGTAGGCTTTGCTGCAGCTGCTCTTTCTTATTGTCTACTGCGGCCGCCTGCTGCCCTGAATGCCCCGTCCCAGGCTCTGGCCAACCCACCTTGGGGGAAGGAAGAGGGTGGGTGTGACTTGGTGAAACCCGAGGGAGAGAAGCAGGACAGGTCAATGGCAGTGAGTGACAACAGCTGAGTCAGAGTGGCTGCAGGTTGTCTGAGTCCGCAATATCCTGAGATGAGCTAGTATTTCTCAAAGCTTCTAAAAACTAAGAAATTGTGTCCCTGGTAGATTTAGTTCCCAGCATGATGCCTGTGTGTCAGTGACCCCCACCCCCACCCCCAGCAAATCTCTGGGGCTCAGGAAAGGACTGGACTCTTGTCTTAGTTAGGGTTGCTATTCCTGTGATGAAACACTGTAAACCAAAGAAACTTGGGAAGGAAAGGTTTTTTTCAACTTACATGTCTGTTGTTCAGATCTTAAATGGTCTTATTAAAAAACAAACAAACAAACAAAAAAACCAAAAAAACTGGAGCCAGATATTGGGGTGAAAGCTGAAAGATCAGAGAAGCAGAGCAAGCCACAGCCAACCTCACCTCGCCAACTCCTCAGCTGATCCTGTTTCCATGAATCTTTAGACTAAAAGCCTCTGAGTCCTAAGAAAGGCCTCAGTCAAAAAAAGCCTTTAGTTCCTGTCTCCTCACGCCTTATAGACCTTTCTCCACCAAGACATCACTTCCTGGGATTAAAGGCGTGTGTGCTTCCCAGTACTGGGATTAAAGGTGTGTGCCACCACTGCCTGGCTCTGTTTTCTCTCCTAGACTGAGTCAATCTCATGTAGTCCAGGGTGGCCTATGAACTCACAGAGATCCAGACGGATCTCTGCCTCCCTGAGTGATAGGATTAAAGGTGTGTGCCACCACTGCCTGACCTCTATGTCTAATCTAGTGGCTGGCTCTGTCCTCTGATCCTCAGGCAAGCTTCATTCGGGTACACAATATATCACCACACATGTCCACATCATAGATCATCATCAAAAGAAGTCAGGACAGGAACCTAAGCAGGACAGGAACCTGGAGGCAGGAGCTGATGCAGAGACCATGGAGGGATGTTGCTTACTGGCTTGATCCCTATGGCTTGCTCAGCCTGCTTTCTTATAGAACCCATAACCACCAGCCCAGGGATGGCATATCCCCCATCAATCACTAATTAAGAAAGTGCCTTACAGCTGGATCTTATGGAGGCATTTTCTCAATTGAGGTTCCCTCCTTTCAGATGACTCTAACTTGTGTCAAGTTGACATAAAACTATTCAGCACAATTCTCTTGAGCTATTTTGATTTTTATCACCTTCTTCAAGCCCTTGTTCACTGGTGCCCAGCATGGCAGTCCTGCTCAGTAAGTCCACGGCACGGGCTTCCTATCAGCCCGTAGTCTGCTTATTTCTTCTGTTATTACAAATCGTCTCTGTCCCCTGCTAGACTCTCAGCTCCCCGAGGACCTGGCACTCACTCTGCAGGTATTTGTTGAGTGTGCTGTATCTCTTTACATGCACAGAAACTCCCTGAAGGCCTTGGTCAAGGAGTTCAGGAATACATTTCTCTCTCCCAAACCACACAGGGTGGGAGCTGGGAGCAGCCCACCATTGACCTGTTAGCCAACCTCCATTACACCTACAGCTTCCCCAGATGCTGGCAAACGAGTGTGAGCTGTGGGCAGCCGCGGCCCAGCCAAGAGCTGGGATAGACTGGCAGTGAGCTAAGTAGGACCTAGAAGTCCCCTGATCTGTGCTAGTGAATCTGCTCCCAGCAATTATTCCGTAAGGCTGGTTGTCTCTGCACCTGCTATAAAAGGGCTCCAGGGTGGCAAAGTCTCACCTGGTCCCAGAAACTTCCCAGTGAAGAGGAAATCA